TGGAGCGGCGGCTGGCGAGAGCGAATGGCGAACGGGGGTTGGTGCATTATGTGTATTCGAGAGATACGAGGGCGAAAGATGTCCTGGATTCTTTCGGTGCGTCTAGGGACGGGCCGGGGGCCGTCGGGGTGATCATCTTCGCTACGCAAAACGCACACCCTTCAAAGGAATGGCAACTCGCTCTCCTCAGAGATCTCCTCACTTCGCCCGGGATCACTGCTGCCTCCGTGCCGGCGGTTCTCCTCGCGACGTGTGGTCCTTACGAGTGCGGCGCCATCTCTGGCACCGATGCCGCTGGGAAGGAGCTGGAGGGCGTTGCGTGCGTGGCGACGTTCGAGTTCACGCCCGAGGCGCTGGAGGCGGGTGTAAAAGTGCTGTTTGGGGAGGTGAAGCCTGCGGGGATGGTCCCCGTGCGGTTGAGCGAGTCTGCCGGGGTGTGAGTTGAGTAGGTATGTGGACGCTTGGGCGATGCACGGATCAAAATTCAATAATAAAACATGTTTTAAGAATGAGTTGGGGAAGCTGGATGACGAGGACCGAAAAAAAAACTAAAACGGACTTTCGAGTCTCGGGGGAAGGTACAATGTACGTGGCGTAAAGCCTACAAAGTTCAAGGTCTACAGAGTAAACATGGCGTGCAGTGGGACAGGGGCAATTAGTACATATTTCTGCAGAGATGTCCAATAATAGGGCGATGCGAGTTGATACCCGTCAGTAAGGTGTTACAATGGTGTCGAGAGTGGCGGAGGAGTGAGTCAGCGGCTTGGTGGCCCCTCAACGTCTACCAAGCGCGCCAGTAGAGCTTGGCGACTGCGGAGGAAGTGGCAGGGGATACAAGTGCGCCTGAGGCATCGCCTTCACCACGCCCACAGGGCGAGATTGCTGCTGCTGCTGCGACCCGCGTTTCGGCTTCCTCAAAAGGTCCCAAAACGCGTATAGCACTGAGGATGGGCAATCCACGGTAAAACTTGTGCGCCATTTTTGCATCCGGAAATGCATCCGCCCTGTCCTAATCGTGCGTGAAAAGCGGTATTTTGCCTAAGGATTTTTAGTGCGCACTTATAACGCTGAGGTACATAGGAGGAAGTTGTATATGTAGAACATATGAATGATATCGCTCAGGAACATGTACCTTCCTTGCATAGCAGATTAAAATAATGCCCGTGCGCTGAAGGGCGAAATTTAAAAACATCGGAGAAAGATGGGGTTTCTGAGGGAGGCAATATATAGACGCTGCAAGAGTACGCTCCCGCAAAAAAAATCATAAAAAGTGTGTTGTGTCGAAAGCCTTAGGGAAAATGGTGCTCAGCACCACTCAGCTCGCCGCGAGACGGATTCCTGCCATATCGAGATTAATGCGTATTACATAAGCGGGAAATACTACTACTCCAAACTTGATCGCGAGCCACCGCTACGTGACTACAGTGCATTTTTCTTATGCCACGCCCACCAAAGGATCCCTCTGAGGCGCAGAAGGCAGTTGGACGCACAGCGCTCAAACGATTGCAAATGCTCGAGCAATGAGGTGGAAAAAGCGCGAAAATACACCTCCCCCTTCGTCGCCTCCGCCTCTTTCCTCGCTGCCGCTACCTCCATCGCCTCCATTGCCTAAATCATCTCCATCGCCTCCTCCCGCACCGCCCAAACATCCAGGAAACCCGGCGCCGAGCTCTACAGACGGACCGGACGCATCATTCAAGTATAAACACATTATTCACAATGTACAGCGGAAGCTTGGACGCACGCGAGCAACAGGAAGCAAATACGGCGACAAAGCCACAGACGCAATTAAAAAACCGCTCAGGCGTGCAAACGAGAGTCCCAGGTGCTGTCCAAGCTTGCCAAGGTGCGAGAGGGGATCGAAACGTGTGTTGCGCGACTCACCGAGGGATTTCCGCATGAAATCAGCGCCGTACGATCCGAGATGGTGGAGAAGGATGCAGCTGTCACGTAGCTGCAATATTAGGCCGCGCGCGAGCTTGACGGGCTACGGGAACAGCTCCAAGAGGCGAGAGTGTCCGCCAGTCCCCTAGCCGCCGTGGAACGTTATAACGCGCTGGAATCCGAAGCAACCAGTGCTGAAGTCGCCAAAGATGCTCAGATCGAGGTAGAAGACGACGCCGTGCGAGAGATCGAGGACGATTTTAGCGAGAGCGAGGCCGGCGACTATTAGCGGAGTACCCTTAGTTAATGGCTCGCACAACCAGCCGATTATTTTATTCATTTCTTGCTTTTTAATTCATCTTTATGGCCTATATTATTTAACATACATAGTATTACTATTATAGAGGCTCAGACGAGCCACTCTTTTGTTTCTCTCACAAAAAAGCGAGCGCGCCTGCGACGCTACCACATTTACACCTCGATTTCTCGGTCGATTTTGGATCCGAGGCCAGTTGCGGAGGCAAAATCGACGCACAACTTTTACCGAGTATTGCCCATCCTCAATAGCACCACCGCAAAAGGAATATTGAAGAGGATATGCACGGCCATTGCCGTATACCCCGTAGCGGGGTCGAAAGGGACCTGTACGCCTGCAGCGGTCTCCGTGAAGCCATGGAAAGCGTAAGTCACTACGCTGAATGCGAATGTGCCGATGGCCCAGACCAAAAGCACAAAAGGGACACTGAAGAGGAACGCGATCCCGTAGGGGCCGTACTTCCGCTCCACGTTGAGATGATAAGTCGACTCTATGAGTGTAAGATTCAGCGGCTGTGAGATAGATGAGATGGTGCCATGAACGTACTCAGCTGCTCTTTATACGCTTGGTGCCTCCATATGAGGTACATGCCGATGATAATGCTCTCTAGTGCGCAGAGAACTGATATCAATGTCGTGATACGAGCGAGGGATGGTAGGCCTGGAACGGCCAAGAATGAACCTGTCGCTCTGATAGCAGAAATGGGTGTATAAGATTGCGGGTCATTGAGCCAAGGACTGTAATTTTACGAACGATAACAACACGGTTGCCTGGAGGAAAGGATAGACGTTTACAAACATTCTATATATGGAGGACGTGAGAACGTACCACGAGGATGAAGTCCCCCCATTCCTCGACCACCCTCTGGGCATAGCTTTCCCATATCTCCCCCTTGAGCTGCTCTGCATACGCACCGACGCCGGCACCCGTACGAAGAGCTTCCTGAATTGGCTGAATATAGCTGTTCGGCACTCCGAGGAACACTATGTAAATGCAAAAGTACATGAACCACTTCTTTAACCCCCTCGGCTCGGTGGGAGATAAGTGTGTCTTGCGGTCTTCGAATGCCGCTCTCGCGTGACCACCAAAGCCAGTATCGAAAGTGTGAGCAGCTATAGCGTGTGGAACCTCACTCGGTCAGCCTAAACTGAGCAGCGATGACGAGGAAATGGACTACGGCTTACCGACACGCTCAAGTATGTAGGAAACAAGGACATTCTTGGGCGTTGTATCATCTGTAATGAATGCTGCACGGTTAGAGGTTTAGACGCAAGCTGGTTCGGGCTACTTGCCATTGGAAAGCGAGTCGAGCAGTTCTATCAGCCGCTGGCACTCTTGAGGCGCGAAGGGATCCAAGCTATTATCAGCATACACAAGACTCCCTTTTCCCTCGGATTAATAACAAGCACATCATTGTGTAGATGTGGTAGAGATGGGACGAACCAACACAGTTGGATCTCAACGCGAGCAGTGCGAGGTACGCTGCGCCGTCAGGAAGCGGGTGGTGCGAAGGGTGATTCTTGAAATAATTCCAGTATCGCTCTTTGGAGAGCTTCTCTGGGTGATCGAGATCAGGGCGACATCCATGAGACGGGCCACGTAAAATCATATGCTTTCTGAATGCATACCTTCGTTCCACGTCAGATCGCGAGCGTCACTAGCCAAACCCTTGAAAGGGGGCAATGCCATTCGTTTACGCGAATGGTCGACACAGTAAATCTCGACACCCGTCTCCATGTCAATAAACCAATCGATCGGACTGTTCGTTGCCTGTGATAAAACACCGAACGTGTTTGGATATCCTTGGACGCGTTGTTCCACCAAGCGCAGCATTGCGTGATCGCGTATGTCAAGGTCGGTTACGAGGCTACGCGCAGGGCAAGAGAAATAGACCCAGCCGTTTGGGTGCGCGTGGATTACCCAGCCTGCAGGGAGCGTGCTGCCGAATCTAACCTCGAACGTTCAATGGTAAGACGTTCCATGACAACCCCCGCATCACTGGACAATGTACCTTGGTGAGCCCCGAGGCTGAGCCGGTGCAATATCGGGCGATAAACTGAAGTGAACAATGATAGAAATAGTTATCATGTTATGTACTGTCTCTCAAGTTTAGCACTCTTTTTTACGTAGGTAAATGACCAGCCTCTCCCTCCCTGTTTTGCCAAAACAGCTTCTGGGTTCTACTCTTGGTGCGTAGTTCGGCGGCCATACTGCGTCAATGAAACCCAGACCGATAGAGAATATCAGTAGACAATTGAGAGGGATCGTATAGCCCGAGCAAGTGGCATCCCAGTGACGGCGAAAGGGGGGCGTGCTTTAAGTCAAAGGCACTCGTCTTGAAATGGTGTAGCCTGCGATTGCCCAGGTCTGAGCGCTGCCTACGCGAATAATAGGGACAGCCAACCTTGATATTGTGATGGAGGCCCTGCAAACGAGTCTGAAAGTAAAAGTGACCGCCGCGCTCAAAGCCGATCCGCCGCGGTCCATGACTTAGCGGTGACGTCGCACCCCTTGGTGACTCGCGAGTAGCATGCAAAGGGCAAGGCTAGATGACGACGGCCAATATTATTCCAGATCAAGTACACCTGTGTGCTGTCCAGACTGCGTAAAGGTGACCAGTGTGCGGAGCCCGCCTCGCGAACAGATGAATTTGAGGGCGAGTCATGTAGCCGCATTCATTTTCGAAGCCCGCCCTTGACGTTATGTGACAAAAGTTTGGTAGCGAGCGAGAGCTACACCTTGCAGGTTGTGTTATGGATGTGTTGCCTGAGTCGAGCAGTTAGGCGCTGGGATAAAAAGAAGCCCCGGGTCCGAATCGAACGGACCTCCTCTACTGATGGTCCGAAAGCGTAGTGCTCTACCACTGAGCTACCAGGGCAACACCAATAGCGAGCAAAGACCGTATCATGAGCTTAACAGAAGCCTCGGGTCCGAATCGAACGGACCTTTTCTACTATATTTCCACAGCAAACGTAGCGCTCTACCAGGGCAATATTCGGCCCTCTGAAATATAGCCGGCTTTTAACCCCTATTAGTGGACCTCCTAAGGCGCGAGTGCTTACTCCATCACACACTGACTCACACAAGTACTGCGCTGATACACTGCAAAAGCTCCTGGCCCAAGCGCAGCGAAACGACGGGCGAACACGGAGCCCAAGAAACTCGGACCCGGAGAGAATCCGCAGAGAATCCGGGCGTTTCGGAGTTTCGACCTTACCTTATCGGTGGTTCGGTGATGTTTTCCCATCCCGTCCTAAATCCCTCGCTCGGGAGCTATTCTCCGAGTCAACCACCAACCATCATGGCGCTCGTCGGACATTTCAACGCACTCAGGACGCTCTACGAACGACTGGAGGCGCAGTTGATGTCTGAGCCTGGGAACCGGGCGAATCAGTTTGAGGATCGGGTGATGTGGCGCGCATCAGCCCTCGAGTGCTTGGTAAAAAAAATCCTTCGTCATCTCATCTCTCGAATAGACCGGTGACGATTTCTCGTGTTTTATCTCTAGCGCGCAATTGACGAGCAAGTTTCCGCGATGGCTGGAAGTGGTTACTCTATACCCCAGAGCCATCCGGAGCTCAATATTCTGAGGGCGAAGGAGATAGTGGCGAAAATTGGAAAGGAGATGGAAGCGAGGCGACCTCAGGACGTAGGACCGACGCCCTCGGTCGTGGTTACCCAGTCTTTTACCGCCCCATCTCAACCTCCTCCAGAGAAAGCGAAAACACCGGGAAGAAGGGCGGCAGCCGAGAAGGGCGAGGCCTCGGAAAAGGCGGGAACACCGAACTCCAAGGCGCCGAAGGAAACGGTCGAGGGCACGCCCCGTGCTGTCCCGTGTGACATCTGCGCCAAAAGGAAGGTCGAATGTCTGGATGTCGGTCATCTCGCCTGCTTGGTCTGTAGGGACGCGAAAGTGCGCTGCCAGACCTCCAAGGGAGGTGCTGTACCAGAGGGCGTTTCGACATCAGGTAACGTGGCGCCCTCGGACTCATGCGAATTATTTCGACTGAGTTTATTCGCGAAAAAGGACCTAGACGCGCGTCTCGAAAGCGCCTGAGAGCCGACTCCGATGATGCTGGAGCGGAATCATCTCCTCGAGCAGCAGCCACGAACGCTGCCCGTTCACTGCTTGGCATGGTAAGCACTTCCTTCCTCGCTGTAATCTTAAGCCAATATCATAATTGTAACACGTCATCTGTGCGGAATAATATGTACAGAAATCCACGGCGTCGTCGGGAGCCAGCGCCCTTCCAAGCGCCGAAGACTTGATGGACTTTCACAGTGGGGTCAAGGAGCTTCAGAAGCTCGCGAGCAATCTCATGATGCGCGGAGCGGGTCCGGACATCCGAGACGCGGCCGAGCATCTCGGGCGAGCCGAGATATCCATCGCCAAGGGTGTGTTCGCTCAGACTCGGAAAGAGGAAGAGGAGGGGGAGAGGACGAGGCCCGACAAAGGGAAGGGGAGGAATTTGAAAGAAGAGTAGCGGGGATGGGGAGTAGTTATTTTGCTTCGCTTGATTCAGGCTTTTGGGTTGACGGTGTATGAGTACGTATTTATCCAGCGCTGCTGGAGGGTTGCTCTTGTCACTCTAAGACAGAGAACCAATATGAAAACTTAATTGCTGATGGAGTTGTGTTTTTTGGCCGTGGTACTTCGCTACCTAGTCCTCGGGATGAAAGCTTTGAAGTTATCTGCTCGTGACCGGGTTCCGTCAAGTGCTATTGCCTGCGCGCGCGCCCTGTGGGAAATGAGTAGCCTTGGATTCTGAATGATACACAACAAACCCATGGCTCAGCTTGAATGCTGCAAAATGCTAGTATCCCGGCACGCCGGGCAAGGAAAAGGAAACTAGACCGTACCGCGAAGGGTGAAACGGGGTAACGCTACCTAGTACCACGCCTCGGTATAACCTGAACGCTGTAGCGGCAAGTAGTTCTCTAAGTGTCTGGCGAAAGCTTGCAACGCAGCAAAACCTATGCTGCAGCAACTGGACTGGCATAAACGCTTCGCCGACAGGCGAATTCAAAGGCCACCAGAAATGAGCCATCATAATGAACGCAACCAATGTGTGCTTCGTTTGATAGCTCATATATGGTAGCCCTTGAGGCTTGACTGCCGACCGATGTGAAACATGAGCGCTCGTACGAGAGTACAACGGGCAGTTTCGCTCCGAAGATAGCTTTGAAACACGCTCGATTACCGGAATCGAAAAGAGGCCTCAGCGCATCCAGAGGTCCTGGTGATTATTGCAGATATTCGTTGCTGTAACGATGGAAGTTGGAAGACGGGACGCTCACCTCACCCGCAACGGGGCGGGGTTTCAATCGGGGAGAAGAAAAGGAAAAGAGGCACGTGATGTGATTACAAAGGAACAAAGACGCGTGATTTTGCATCCGGTCAGTTGCCACTTCGCGTGAATTCGCGTCAGTCAACATCCAACATCCCACCTCCTTTTCCTTGCAACCTTTTCCTCCATCCACCCACTCCAAACCCATCATGGTAATTCCGCCACATAATTCTTCTTCATCAGCTGCATTTGATAGATGTTGATATTCCCTTTTGCGCCCAATGTCGCGTCCAGGTCAGCTCAGCCGCTATGCGCCGCCTTATGCGCGAAATCAACACCCTCCGCACTGAGCCACCCGAGGGGATCCGTATCTCTGTCAGCGATGAGGACATGCTCGATATTACTGGCATAATTGCTGGCCCAGGTGAGTAGTGTCTCCCTCTGTCGCTGTGACCATGCGCTGACGTGCCCACTCCCCTATCCGACAGTCGACACACCGTATGAAGGTGGTTACTTTCGTATCAAATTTGTGTTTACTGAGGAGTTTCCCGCTGCGCCACCAAAATGTACGCGCCTCTGAACATGCGTATTCGTGGACTTTTGATCATCTTTTCCCTTGTTTGTGCAGGTCGCTTTCTTACGCGCATCTTCCACCCGAACGTGTCTTCCACCGGCGAGATCTGCGTCAATACGCTGAAAAAAGATTGGAAGCCGACATATGGCATTGCCCACATCCTTGTTACTGTGAAATGCCTCCTTATATACCCCAACCCCGAGAGTGCTCTTGACGAGGAGGCAGGGAAGTTACTATTGGAAAATTACGCCGCTTACTCGAAGCATGCCAAAGTAATGACAGAAGTACATGCAAAGACCAAGGTGAGCTGAAGGTTTTTTTCGCGGGAATATTTATTAATCTATTTCTAGGCTCCTCCGCCTGAGTTCGCCATTCCTTCGAAAGTGCCACCCGAGACGACTGCATCTGCACATTCCTCCTCCGCCACGTCCGTCCACCTCGCAAACTCAGGCACGGCCGTCGCGCCTACCCCTGCTCCTGTGCCACCGCCATTAGCCCCGCCTCCATCTACCGCCTTCTCCCTCAAATCACCTCTTGTCAAACCCGCCAGCACTGCACCCCCTCTCCAACCCTCCAACGCCAATACGCCGACCGGCATCACATCACGACCTGCATTTGCGCCAACCAGCAACGCGCTGCAACCCTCTCACTCTGGTAACGCGCCAGCAGCAGATGATCGAGAAAACATTGCGGTGAAGGACGGGAAAAAGAGGATTGGCGCGCCTGCAAATGCTGGTGAGAAGCGGAAGAGGGGACTTAAGAGGCTCTGAGGACGCAAGTTCCGTATTTATACTCGTATAGCGGTTTCCCCTTTTCCTCATAGTACATCCTGGTCAATTTCATCCGCTCCCCTACGGGCCGTGCCTGTAACGTATACCCTTCATTTCACTATACGCGAGGGGCTTGGCGGATTGTGGCCTCTTTTCTCGATCATGTTCCTTTTCCTTTTTCTCTGTATCTGCAAAGTTGTATTCTGGAAAAAACCACGTTTTGACACATACATGACACTGTCTTCCAATGCCCGCACGTTTGATGGATGAGCATACGGCGAACGGTTCGCCGTATACTCATTCATACCCATCAAACACGCGACCGTTGTGTAATGTCCACCCCAAGGCAGGAAAAAAAATTATAGTCCGGAATATCTTCATGGGAGGGTTGTGGTAATTCTAAGTTGAATATCTGGTGTATATCTCAAAGTGTGCTCTCTCACGAGGAGAGGATTGGCGCCCTGGAGATTCTGCGGTCCAGGTCTCAGAAAATGGGAAGATGATACAAAGGTTGCAAAATCCAGGAGTACTCCGATGGGTACTTGACCACGGTATTAGCGCTGAGTTGCAAAGTGATCGTTGTTGAATACCTTGATTTACAACACTTACTGAAGGCATGGTTAACGTTGGTGGAGTTGTATAGACTGTGAAGGCCGTGCGATATTGAATGGAGTAACCGCAAGACTGCCAGCGTGTTGCCAACCGGTGCGGGAACACTTGGCTGTCCAAAATAAATTTGTTTCAAGCGGGAAGGGGCTCTGGCATATTGAACAATGAGCGCGCGAGTTTGATATTTACGTGACCACTGGCAGCGCACAGGCAATTTGTTTCGGGAAACAAAAAAAAGAAAGCATACGAGGCGCTCGCGCGGAACGGGTAAGACGAGAGGGCGATGTTGAATCAAATTGCGTGATCAACACAGCGACCGGAGGATTGAGGAGTGTTTTGCCGTATCATGCAGGCAGTAGGCAACGCTCCACATTCACATATCTCCCCGAGACGCAGACCGTTTGATAGGGGACGTAGGAGACCTGCGTCTCTGGGTGACATTTACAACATATCCAGAGGATCGAGGAGGCAGATCCGAACTCCGGAGCGAGTTCGGTTTTCTTGAAGCAAGTGGAGGGAACGCACTCCAGTCTCCAGGGGTTCACATCACCGAGCTGGCGAGCGAATGTTGTGCGTGCACTGCGAGATAAATTCTCTGGTTCTCGATGCGACTTGCAGATGCTATGGCATTTGAATT